GTGCCATTTCCCTCGGTGCCATTTCCCTCGGTGCCATTTCCCTCGCCCCCGTGCGCAGCCGGCGCCGTCCCACCCGCGTGGCAGGCAGCGCTTCCTTTCTTCTAGCAAACCCGAGTGCAAAACACCTGAACACCGATTTTTTTTTTCCCTGCACACCGAGCCCCCACCTGGAGCCCACGTGCGGCGGGGCGGGCAGGTAACGCCTCGCGGTGCTGCCCCGGGGCGCTCTGCCCGCCCGCCCGCCCGCCCGCCCGCGGCCCCGGCAGAAGTCACCGGTGAAAATATCAGTCACCATCTGGAGGGGAAAAACCCTCCGCTTCCCTTTTCTCTACTTCAGCAAAGTCAAAAGTCAGGCCGCGGAGGCGCGTGTTTCTAGGCAATGATTAACGCTGAGGCGGGGAGGCTCCGTGTCCCCGGTGAGCCGCGCGGCGGGCACGGTACAAAGGCTGACTTCCCGGCGGGTTTGAAGGGCTCAGCCGCGCCTCAACAACACAGCAAAACCCACAAAGCCGCTCGCTGGCCGTCCCTGTGAAGCTGCCCTGCCGATGGCACAGTGGGGCACCGGGGTGGCTTTGTCCCTGCCAGGTCCCCGTTGCCACCCGCGGGTTCGCCTGATGCGCCCGCACCGACCTGTGCGCACCCGGCTCTGTCTGCATGGAGCCAGGCCTGTAGGTACATCACAGAATCACAGAATCACAGAATTTCTAGGTTGGAAGAGACCTCAAGATCATCGAGTCCAACCTCTGACCTAACACTAACAGTCCCCACTAAACCATATCCCTAAGTTCTACATCTAAACGTCTTTTAAAGACTTCCAGGGATGGTGACTCCACCACCTCCCTGGGCAGCCCGTTCCAGTGCCTAACAACCTTTTGGTAAAGAAGTTCTTCCTAACATCCAACCTAAAACTCCCCTGGCGCAACTTTAGCCCATTCCCCCTCGTCCTGTCACCAGGCACATGGGAGAACAGGCCAACCCCCACCTCTCTACAGCCTCCTTTAAGGTACTTATACAGAGCGATAAGGTCGCCCCTGAGCCTCCTCTTCTCTAGGCTGAACAAGCCCAGCTCCCTCAGCCGCTCCTCATAGGACTTGTTCTCCAGGCCCCTCACCAGCTTCGTCGCCCTTCTCTGGACCCTCTCAAGCACCTCGATGTCCTTCTTGTAGCGAGGGGCCCAAAACTGAACACAGTACTCGAGGTGCGGCCTCACCAGAGCCGAGTACAGGGGGAAATGATGCGTGGTGCGTGATGATGTGCCTGCATCGGGCTGGCCTTACGTGTAGATGTACCTCCACGGTGTGCCTCCACGCAGAGGTACCTGCAGGAGGCACCCCCATGCAGATGTCCCTACAGGAGGCACCTCTGTGCAGATACACCTCCACGCAGAGGCACCTCCATGGTGCACCTCCATGCAGATGTACCCACAGGAGGCACCTCCACGAAACTACACCTCCATGCCGATGAAGCTCCATGAAGACATCCTACGCACGGGTACACCTCCATGCAGATGTACCCAAAGGATGCACCCCCATGCAGATAACTCCATGCAGATGTCCTACACACCGCTACACCTCCATGCAGAGGCACCTCCATGGTGCACCTCCATGCAGGTGTACCCACAAGAGGCACCTCCATGCAGATGAACCTCCATGAAGATATCCTACAAACAGCTACACCTCCACGCAGAGGCACCTCCATGATGCAATTCCACGCAGATGCACCTTCATGATGCACCTCCACGCAGCCGTACCCAAAGGCAGCACCTCCACGCAGCTACACCTCCACGCAGCTACACCTCCACGCAGGGGCACTGCGCACAGATGCAGCTCGGTGCAGCCATACCCGTGTGCATGCAGCAGCTGCTGGTGGTGCCAGGACCACTCCAGGGCCCCCCGCATGGCCCCGCTCGCTGCGCACTGCTGGGCGCACTCCCTGCCGGCAGCGGCGCAGGCGGCCTCGTGCCGTGCGGGGCTGTGCATGCCCGGGCTGCTGCTGGCTGCTGGCCGCCGGCCAGCCACGCCGGGTCCAGTCACCTGCAGTTTTGCAACACAATGAGAGGGAAGCCGCAGGGGCCGCAGAAAGGAGAGGAAGGGTGTGCCAAGCAGCAGAGCAATTAGGGTATGGCTTCGGGATATGTTAAAAAATTCCTACAGCGCGGCAAGACTCAGACGGGGAATGGGAGAGGGAGCGCACGTGCGCCAGCCGCAGCGGAGCCCGGCAGGGTGCTAAAGCTGGAGCTCCCCACGCACCTCACCTCTGCGGTGGGAGCCTGGGGAGAAAAACGGGCGGCCCGAGGCAGAAACAAAATGCTGAAACCTGGAGCAGGGATGGAGGTGGCCCAGGAGGGCCTGCGGGGACACCGGGGAGCTCAATGGGGTCAGCGTGTCTGCAGGCGGCTACCGCAGCCCACGCCGGTGCCAGTGTCCCGAAATAGCAGCAGCGCAGCGCCGGCACGGCCGGGGAGCCAGGGCGCACGCCGAGCTCGGGGCTCCAAAAGCAGGAGCGGGGACCTGGAAGGAGCAAACGAGCTGCCAGCCGCCGAGGAGACCTGCAGAGAGGCAGTGACGGCGGCCGCCGGTTACCAGGGCACATGCTTGTGTTGCAAGATCGTCACTGGATAAGAGGGCAGCCTGGGGCACGCTGAGCATCTGGAAAAATACCTCCTGCCGGGGACGAGATGGAGCATGGTGTGCGGAGAGGGCACGGGGAGAGCGCAGCGAGGCCTTCACCTGCCTCACAAGGCTGCCGAGCGCCTCGGGAACGGGGCAACATGGTTGTGGGGATTTATTCGGCTGATAATAGCTCCCTGGCACACCTCCAGAGCAGGGGCTTAGCCGCCTGGGCGCGCCGAGCCAGCGAGGCAGGGACGCTTACCCCGGGGTCCCAGGCTGCGAGCTGGCACGCTGCGCTGCCGAGGGGCCCCGAGAGGCAGCACGACAGGGGAGACGAGGCAGATCCCTTATCTCAAATACTTCCGAGATGACACACCAGCGCTCAGGGCAGCCATCGCTCCTCCTCGTACCTGCAATCGTTGCAGGGAGATGCCCAGAGCTGCACTGGGTCCCTGGAACCGTGGCTGCAGCTGCGCCGTGGCCATCGGTGCTGCTGCGGGCCCCCAGTGCGCTGCCCACACCAGCCCCCAACCTGCAGCATCCTCTGGGGTGGGGAGCACGGGGCAGCAGGGGGGGGGCAGCTCTGCCCTCCTGCATGGGACGGGGGGCGGCGGAGGGGCCGCGCCGTGCTCGTGTCCCTGCCCAGCCCCAGGCACGGGCACGCGTTCAAGAAAGCCATTAGAGCGCGAGGGAGAGAGGGAGCAGCTTCCCCCTGCAGCAGTGAGCAAGACGGTCGTATCAAGTCAGGGGAATGTAACATTAATTATTATTATTAATTAATGTCTTATTTTACAGTGCCCCCATGTGCGCTAGGCGCCTTCCAGCACTGGAGGCGAGCCTGGGTCCCTGCCTAAAAGGGTTTGTCTGGGCTGCAGCCCGCGTGGCACGGCCGGGCCCCTCCGTGCCCATGCTGGGGGCTGCGGGGCGCTGCCCCTGCAGAGCCCCCTGCCCCTGCAGAGCCCCCTGCACAGTGCAGGATGCCCGGCGTGCTGCACTGAGGGTCCCCACGCTGGTCCCCACCGGGTGGGGGGCAATGACAGCACCCACGCAGAGTCCAGGGCTTTGCCCCGGTGCTCCTGGTGGGTTGATCTTGGCTCCCCAGCCCCTACCCAGCACCCGGGGCATCGCCAGCAACAACCTCCAGGACACCTCATGGGTGTTTGCACACCTCAAGGCAGCCTAATTGCTGATTCGTTTTGGGCATCTTCTGGTTTAGAGCCCCCATGGTGTGTCTGTGCCCGTTATCTGGCCTCCAGCACACACCCAGGGGGTGCTCAGGTCCCCACATGGCCCCAGGACCCCCTCTGGGCACCTCTGGCCAGGACAGAACAGGGCCAACGTGGGGTGCTGGGGCGTGGGGCATGGGGTAAGGGTGCCTGGAATGACTGCCCCAAAGCAGAGGCACCCAGAGATGTCCCCAGGAGGTCAGGGCTCAGTGGCACTGGGGGATGAGGGGCACACAGTGCCCTGGAATTGCACGGCATGGCACGGCACTGCACAGCACCACCGCATCGCCCAGCACTGCACAGTTTGGCACCACGTGCATGGTTTGGCACAGGTCATCACAGGGCACGGCACAGCTCCGCACTGCACTGCATGGCACTGCACGGCACGGTTTGGCTCTGTTTGGCACTGCTCAACACAGTTTGGCCCCGCGTGGCACGGCTCAGCACCCCAGGCCATGCACAGCACCCCTGGCCCTGCTTGGCCTTGCCCTGCTCCCACCATCACCGCACAGCCTGGCACGGCACGAAGCCCCTTGCCTTGGCAGCAGCCCTTGTAGCTCAGCATTGCGTGGCACGGCTCAGCTCGGCATGGCACAGCCCTGGTGCTGCCTCAGGGCAGTGCTGCACGGGCTGGCACCGCTCAGCTGCACCCAGCACGGCTCGGCACGGCTCAGCACTGCTGGGCTCAGCCTGGCTGTGCCCCAGCCCCACACGGGACTGCTGGCCTTGGCTTGCTTGGCCTGGCCCAACTTGCAGGGCATGGCACGGCTCGGTTTGGCTCAGCTTGGTTTATCCTGGTCCAGCACGGCTTGGCTCGCCGTGTCCTGCCCTGGCTTGGCACCGCGCACCATGCAATGCCTTGACCCACTCCGGGCCATCCCGGCACGGCTCGGCCTGGCTTGGCACCGCACCAACCTCCCGGCACTTGACTCAGCTCGGCTTGGCCCAGCACGGTCTGGCTCAGCACGGTTTGGCTCAGCACGGTTTGGCTCGGCACGGTTTGGCTCGGTACCCCTTTTGGCACGGCACCGCACGGACGCACCGCGCTCCGGCACCGCTCAGCTGCGCGCCCTGCCTCCGGTACCCTGCCTCTCCATCCCATCCCGTGCCCAACCGTTCCGTGCCGAGCCGTGCCGAGCCGTGCCGGCGGCGGAGGGCGCTAGGACCGCGCGTTGGGGCTGCTCGGTGCTGCAGTGGAGGCGGCGGCGCTGCGGGAGGAGGCCTCGCCGGGCAGCGCAGCGCGGCGCGGGGCGGCTCGGCACGGCACGGCTCGGCACGGCTCGGCACGGCGCGCCGGGCCCGCACGGCCCCAGGTAACGGCATCCCCGACCCCCCCTCCCACAACCCCCTACGACCCCCCCCGGGGACGGGCACCCCCCCGTTTTTTTTTTCTCCCCCCCCCTCCCCGGGTTTTTCCCCGTCCCCTTGGCACGGCTCGGCCCGTGCGCCCCCCCTCTCCGTCCCCAACCTCCCGCTGCTGCCGGGCGCGGGGGAAAAGCAGGAAAAGATGGCAGCGGCCGCACGGCCCCCCCCCGGACCCCCCCCCCCACAACACCTCCTCCGGTGCCCCCCCCCACCGCCCCCCCCCCGGGCCCGTCCCCGCCCCGCCGCGTCCTTGAGCGCCCGTGCGGGCGGCTGAAGGGCAGCGCCGGCCGCCCCCGGGCACGGCTCGGCCCCCCCCCGAGCCCCCCCCCCGTGTCGGTGTTGTGTGTTTTGTTTTTTTTTTTTTTTCTTCCCTCCTCCTCCTCCTCCTCCTCCTCCTCTCTTCCTCTTCCTCTCCCCCCCCCCGCCCCGCTCCGGCTCGGTTCTCCCCGTCCCGGGAGCATCGCCCCGAGGGGGGGCGCACGGCGAGGAGGGGATGGGGACGGGGAGGGGGGTAGGGGATGGGGGTAGGGGTCCGGGATGGGGACAGGGGGTACAGGATGGGGATAGGGATAGGGGATGGGGGTCCGGGATATGGGTAGGGGTAGGGGTAGGGGATGGGGGTAAGGGGTAGGGGACGGGGGATAGGGGATGGGGATGGGGATAGGGGTCTAGGATGGGGACAGGGGGTACAGGATAGGTATAGGGATAGGGGTTGGGGGTCCAGGATGGGGGTAGGGGTCCGGGATGGGGGTAGGGGTAGGGAATGGGGGTAGGGGACAGGGGGTGGGGGTAGGGGTCCGGGATGGGGACAGGGGGTACAGGATGGGGATGGGGGTAGGGGATGGGGGACAGGGGATAGGGATAGGGGATAGGGGTAGGGAATGGAGTTAGGGGTAGGGGACGGGGGACAGGGAATGGGGATGGGTTTAGGGGATGGGGGTAGGGGGACAGGGGATGGGGAAGGGGGACAGGGGATGCCCGGGCTGCGTGCAGGCCAGGAGCTGGGGCTGCTGCTGCCTGCACCCTGTGCACCCTGCCTGCACCCTGCCTGCACCCTGCCTGCACCCTGTGTGCCCTGCCTGCACCCTGCCTGTGCCCTGCGTGCCCTACGTGCCCCCTGCCTGCCCCCTGTGCTCTGTGTGCTCCCTGCTTGTCCCCCTCCTGCCTGCCCCCTGCCTGCCCCCCCAGTCCCTGCCTGCTCCCCACTGCCCACCCACCCCCTGTCTGCCCCCCCCCCGTGCGGCCCCGCAGCCCCCAGGCCCGTTGAAGTTCAGCCGGGTGCTTGGTGCCCGCGGAAAGTTTCTCTTAGAGGGAAAAAAAAAAAAAAAAAAAAAAGAAAACACAAAAATAAACCCAAAAACCAAACCCACGCGAACTAAAAAAGCAACCGCAGAGCGCCCCGGGGCTGCGAGCAGGAGGGGGCCGGGAGCAGCGGGGCCAGGGCCCAGCAGGCACCCAGGTGCCCGGCCCCTCCGCGGGCACGGCTCAGCGCCGCGCTGCCTTTCCCCTCCTCTCTCTCTCTTTTTCCTCTCTTTTTGGGTGTTTGTGCGTGCGAACCTGTGGGCAAATGAAATTTTCCTCTTCGCTCAGTTCCTCTTTCTTTATTTCTTCCCTTTGTGTGAGTGACGTAGACGGTGTCACCACGGGATTGGTGCTCGGTGCTGGCAGGGCTGCGCACGGCGTGCGGGGCGCCGGCAGCCAGCGGTGCCGTGACCGCCCGGCCCCGTGGGGGCGAGCAGCGGGGGGCTTGGGCCGGACTCCCCCCTCCCCAGGCACCCGTCCCCAAGCAGGAGAGCGGCCGGTGTGACACCAGGCGGCGGCTCCCGGCAGCTCCCGCGCGTGCAGTGGCCTTTTCGTGCTGAGTCAGCTCGAAACTTCCTAGCAGGAGCCTCTTTTCGCAAAATGAAGTTGCCCGCAGACATCTCGAGGAAATGAGGGATGCCTGGGCGCTTCCCCGGCTGCCCGAACGCGCTGTGAGCATTGGGGTGTTCGGGAGAGCCCCCCCGGGTCGGTGGGCACGGGGTGGCCCCCATCTCGCCATCCGGAGGAGACCCCACGATGCCGGGGCTCTGAGAAGTCTCCGCGGCCAGCCCCTTCGCCCCCGCCTGCCCCGGGCGCGGTGCAGCCACTCGGGGCCCCTCCAGGTGCTGGGTTTCGTGGGGGTATTTTTAGGATGTGCATCTGCACCCGTGCATGGCCCACGCGCCCTGCCTGCGCCCTGCCACCCGTGGTGCCCCAGGGAGGCCGGACCCGCTGGCACTAGCAGCAGGAGCCGGAGCTGGGTGGCAGGGTGGGCACACACCCGGTGCACACGCGTGTGCCAGGTGCCCACCTGCCCTGCAGCAGGTACAGAGATGCCATCCCCTCCTGCTTCGGTGCAGGGACCTGCTCTTCATGCCAGGGGCTGCTCTTTGCCAGTGCCACCTGCACGGCGCGGGGACAGGGGACCTCGGGGCGCACCGGGCCAGCTCCTGCACCGCAGGGCATGGGAAGCACCTCTCCTGCTGGGCTCATTCTGCGTCTCGCCAGCCCTTCCCAGTTACAGATTTGTGCCCAATCCCCAATTCCCATCACCCAGCTCCAGCTCCCAGCCCCTGCTCTGGTGCCTGCTCTGTGTCCCTCTGCCCGGCGGAGGCGTTCGGCGCTGCCCGCCGCTCGCTGCCCACAAAGGCACTTGCTCACTGTAATCGAATCATCTCTCGGCCATTTTTTTCCAATAAGCCAAACCCATCGAGCTCTCCGGCCGTGAGGCATTTTCTTAGCTCGTGAGCCTGGCCCTGGCCCTGTTCTGGCCCCCTCCAGGCTTTCACCGTCCCGTCTGCAGGATGGGGAGCGGGACCGGAGCCGCGTCCTGGTGCTGGTGTCCCTGGCAGTGACCATCCCACGGGCAATTTTGTCTGAATCCAGCCTTTGCTAGCGCTGATGCTCTGCAGGATCTGGCTGTGTTTAGGCCTGCAACTTGTGTTTTAGTTTGCTTGCAGTGTGGCTTTGCAGTGCACGGCAGCTCCCCAGGGAGCAGCGCAGCGTAGTGCTGGGCACCGCATCGCTCCCCGGGGTGCAGTGTGGTGTGCTGCAGCACAGTGCAGTGCTGGGCATCGCTGCCAGGCATGCAGTGCTGTGCTGTGCAGTGCAGTGCTGTGCTCCCTGGGGTGTTGGATTGCTCCCCAGGGTGCAGCACGGAGCAGCAGAGCGCTTCGCTCCCTGGGGTGCAGCTCAGGACAGCGCACCGCTCCCCGGGGTGCAGTGCCTCCCCCCTCAGGGTGCAGCGTGGCACGGCGCAGGGCAGGGCAGCGCACCCCGGGGTGCAGGGCATCACTCCTGGGGTGCAGCTCAGGGCAGTGCAGCGCTTCTGGAGTGCAGCTCAGGACAGTGCATTCCTCCTGGGGTGCAGTGCAGCGTGTTGCAGCGTGGAGCAGTGCATCGCTCCCCGGGGTGCAGCTCAGGGCAGAGCATTGCTCCCGGGGTGCAGCACACCGTGGGGCACCGTGTTGCTCCCCGGGGCGCAGCGTGGGGCTGTTTTGCGGGTGCCACCCTCCACCCCCGCTGTGTTTTTGGGAGCAGAGGGGCTGCCACCCCATGGTGCCATGGAAGCCCCCGGGGGGCTGCCCCACACGCATCGCAGCCGCGGCCGGCTCCTCTGGCCGACGCGTGCCCCGCGGTCAGATATTTAGCTTGCAAGTTGTAATTACAGGGGGGGTTGGGGGGGGTGCGGATGAGGTCAGCGCCGTGCCCACGACGGTGGTTTTGCTGCAGCCATCTGTCGGAGCCGATGGCACGGGAGGCGCCGTCGCCGCTCGCCCCCCAGCTCTCCGCAGTGCCGGGTGCCGTCGGCCGGGGTCTGTCCTCGGTTCCCCCCAGCGCGGGGGGCTGCGGGAGCCCCCTTGGCGTGAGTCAGGGGTGCCGAGCGGCGAGGGGGGGGCGGCGGAGGGGAGGTGGGGAGGGGGGGGGCGTGGGTGACTCACGGCCACGGCTCCCATCCCTCTGAGTCAGCCCCGAACTTCTTCTCCTTCTTCCCCGGTGCCGGGGAGGGGGAGGAGGAGCGGTGACTCAAGGCGACAACAACAATAATAATACGGCGCTGCGGCACTTGTCACGGGGAAGGGGCTCGGACGGGGTCCCCCCCGCGCGTCCCCGCCGGTGGGGACGCGCGGGGTCCCCCCCCGTCGGAGCCCGGTGGGTGCCGCTGCGGCGAGCGGCTGGGGCCGGGTCACCTTAGGACAGGGCGCACCGGGGCGCGTCCCGGCGGGGCGCACGGGGAGGAGAGGGGAGGGGGGGGGCGCACGGCTCAGGGCGGGGGGAGCCGGGGAGGCGCCTCCGGTTCGCAGCATCTGGGGCTGGAGGGAGCCGAGCGGGGCCGGCTGCCGTCGCCTAAAATGGCTGTTGGGTTCCTGCGGGCTGGCGGAGGGAGCTGCGGCGTCCCCAAATAAGAGGCGGGTGCGGGTGCGGGTGCGGGTGCCGGCGGCGCGCATCACCGCAGGTAACCTACTTCCACCGCCTCTGCCGCCGGCGAGCGTGACTCCTCCGTGCGGGCTGGGGCGAGCGATTCCCCCGCTCGCCGCCGTCACCGGGATAAGGTCAGCCCCGGCGATAAATAGGGAGGGAGGCAGGAGGGAGGGCGGCGAGTCCCTCCCCGCGCCTCGGCGGCGAGCGCGGGCAGCCCCGGCCGGCTGCGAGCTGCGGGGCTGCGGCCCCCTCTCCCCCCCCCCACATCACCACCACCACCACCACCACCACCGCTGCCACCCCCGGCCCCCCCAGCAGCCGTCCCCGCCGAGGGGATGCCCCGCGGGGTCCCCCCCGCAGCCGGCGGTGCGGGAGCGCGGTGACGGTGGCGGTGGCCGTGGCCTAGCGCGGGGACGGACGCGGCCCCGGCCCGCGGGTAAGAGCGGGGAGCTGGCGGGGGGGACCCGGCGGTGGGGTTTGGGGAGAGGTGGGGGGGTTGGAGAGGGGGGGGGACCCGGTGCCGCCGGCTTCTCCCCGGCTTGTTCCGCGTCCCCCCCCGCCCTGCGGGTGCCGAGGGTTTTGTACGCAGCCCAACTATTTTTAGTGCGCTTGGAGACCATGTTTGCTGGAAGCGAATCAAAGCCTGCGAGCTTGGAGATTTTTCAGCGCGAGGCTGCGCACAGCGCGGGCTGCGGGCATGGGGGTGCCCGAGCCGGGGGGCTGGGGGGCTTGGGGGGGGGGGGAGGTTAGGGGGGGCTGGTGGCCCCCCGTGTGGGTTGGGGGGGATGAGGAGGGTGGGGGACGGGATGGGGGAATGGGGGGACTGAGATGGTTTTTGGGGATGTGGGGACGGCGACTGCAGCGGCGCTGCAGGCAGGGACCCGCGGGGAGTGGGGGACGCTGGGGACATTGGGGACAGCAGCAGCCTGCGGTGCCTGCGGGCCCCCATGGGCACGGGGGGTGCAGCCCGGGGGGGGGACGGGGAGCCCCTGCTCCGGAGCTGCGTGGGACGCGGCCGGGTGTCCCCAGGTGTTCCCCGGCAGCACGTGGCCTCCCGTGCCCGCGGACGTGGCTTCGCCCTGGCACCGCGCAGGGGGAGCGGGGCTGGGGGCACCGGGGGGCACGGGCAGGGATGGGGGCACTGCCAGCCCTGGGGTGGCGAGGAGGGATGCGAGGTGCTGTGCCGTGCCAAAATGTGTGCCGTGCCGTGCCGTGCCGTGCCGTGCCGTGGTGCCAGCGGTGTGGCAGCTCCAGGACAGGCACCTGGGGCGGTGACGTGTGGGTGCCTGGCGCTGCCCGGTGCCACCCCGGGGTGTCCCATCGAGGGGCACCAGCCCCAAGGTCGGGGTCCCCCCGAGCTGCAGGGAGGGGAGCAGCAGGGCTGTGAGTGCAGGGCCAGCTCTGAGGAGCTTGGCAGAGAGCAGGCGTGGGCAGAGCCCGTGCTGCAGGGGGCTCGTGGGGACACTGCCCCAGGGATGGGGACAGGGACAGGGACACGGGGACGGGGCTTCCCCATGGAGGCTCCCTGACAGGTGGCAAAGGAGGCGCCGGGGGAAGCCCTGCAGGCTGTGTGCAGGCGGCGGGGGACACAGCACGCACCCCAATCCTGCACCCCCATCCTGCACCCCCAGCCCCCCTCCTGCACCCCACACCTTATCCTGCACCCACACCTCACACCCCCACCCCGCAGCCCTGCCCCACAGCCCCATCCCGCACCCCCAGCCTGCCTCCCACCCTCCCCACCCGCGTCCCAGCCCCACGCACGAGGGGTTGGGGGGCTGCAAACGGGGGGGCCTGGGACAGCCGAGCCCTGCCCCAGCTCCCCCCAGCCCCCCCCTCCAGCCCCTGCTGCCCCCAGCCCAGCTCCCCGCTCTCGGGGGTGCCGCCGCCGGGCCCGGGGGAGGCTGCGGCAGCGGCGGGGCCCCCGCTCCCCCCCGCAGGCAGCCCCGCGCCGCAGGCAGGCGCGGGGACGGGAGGAACGTGCCGGGGTTTGAGTTTCTGTTCCTAGAAGCTGCGGCCCTGCCCGCCCGGCAGCCCCCCACCCTGCCGGCTGGGAACGAGCTGCGGCTGGAAAGCTCTAGAAACAAATTGCAGCTCCGGTGCCAAAGGCAACAGCAGCCTCGGCCATGGCTAATGCAGGCAGCGTTTTCCATAGCAACAGGTGCTGGGGCTGACGCCTCCGCCGCAGCCCCGCGGGGCCCTGCCTGCGCCTGCACCCCGCTGCCTGCACCCCACAGCCCGGGCTGCGCGCCCCACGCCCTGCACCCCGCGCCCTGCGCCCCACTCGGTGCATCCCGCACCCCGCTGCAGGCACTGCGCACCCTGCTCCCCGCGCTGTGCACCCTGCACCCCGCACCCTGCACCCCACATCATGCACCCCACACCCTGCATCCTGCACCCCACGCTGTGCCCTGTGTGCCCTGCACACTGTGCACCCTGTGCTGGGCACCCTGCACCCTGCATTGTGCACCCTGCTCCATGTGCCCTGCAGCTCCTGTGCGCACTCTGTGCCATGCCCCCTGCACTGCACCCCACACTGTACACCCCACACTGTGCACCCCACACCCCTCACTGTGCACCCCACACCCCGCACGGTGCACCCCACACCCCGCACTGTGCACCTTGCCCTGTGTGCCATGCACCGTGCACCCCACGCTGGGTGTCCTGCACCACTCGTGGTGCACCCTGACCTGTGCTGCACACTGTGCACCCCCCAACCCACGCTGTGCACCCCCATCCCACGCTGTGCACCCCCATCCCACACCATGCCCCCACCCCACACCGTGCCCCCACCCCACCCCACACCCACCCCACACCGCACAGCACCCCCGCAGCACGCACCCTGTGCCCCACGAGGCAGATCCCATGCCGCGTGCCCCACACCTGCCCCATGCACTGCGCACCCCGAGCCGTGCGCCCTGCACCGCGCCCCGCACACCCCGGTGGGGCCGCAGCTCCACCGCCCGCCGGGGGCGACGCCAGGGGGGCTCGGCCCAGCCCGGCTGAGTCAAGGTTGCGGCGTGTTAATAATTGCTGGGGGCTGGGGCCCGGCGGGCGCTCCCCCCCTCACCCCGTGCCTCTGTTCCCCGCAGGGCAGGAGGATCCCGGCAGGCGCAGGGGCTGGGCGCCGGCCCCCGGACCCCTCGGCGGCGCAGAGCCGGAGCGCGGCGGTGGCAGCGGTGGCAGCGGCGGGGCCTCTCCTGGTGCTGAAGCTGTGAAGCTCCCCGGTGCCCGCCCGGCCCCCGCCCTCCGCCCCCCACCATGCCGTCCAGCGGCGCCCTCGACGCCAGCAGCCCCGTGCCGGACCGCGAGGCGCTCGACACGCACAAGGTACGGCCCCGGCACCGCACGGGGACACGGGGACATGGGGACACGGGTGGGGGGCTCCTGGCACCGCGGTCACCCCATCAAAGCAGGAGCCAAGGCTGCAGGGGGGGCCCCTCCAGCTGCGCTCCCCCCCTGTGCTGCAGCAGCCTGGGGAGCGCGGAGCTGGGCGGCACGGGGGGGGCGCGAGGCTGAGCTGCAGCGGGGATTAGTGGGGATTGAGCTATTTCTGGCAGTGGGGAGGGGGGGCCACAGGCAGGCTGCTCCCGCCCTGCTGGGGCGCGGGTGTCCCCTGCTTTGGGGCATCCCCTGCTTTGGGGTCACATCCCCTGCTTTGGGGTCGCATCCCCGGCTTTGGGGTCGTGGCAGTGGAGTGGGAGGGCGCACGGGGCATGGGGCAATGGGAAGGGCACATGATGGGGTGGAAATGGGGGCATTTGGGGACAGGAGGGGACAACGCACGTGCGCTCAGGGCTCGCTGGGGTGGGGAGAGCAGCCAGCGGGCAGAGGATGGGGTCATGCGCCCCCGCTGCTGCCCCGGGCTGGGGGGTGGCACAGCCCCCAGGGATTCACTGCGCCCATCCCCAAATCACCCGGTGCTTTGCCACGGTGCCACACGGGATGGAGAGGGGCTGAGCAGTGGCCGGCAGAGCAGAGGTGGGGGCTGCAGGTGCCACACGGATGGAGGGGCTGTGCTGGGTTTTGGGGTGCCTGGGGACGGTCCCCAGCCAAACCCAGGCGTTGTGGCAGCTCCGGCCATGGCCTCGGTGCTCCTCGGTGTCCCCGCAGCACAAGGATGAGCGGGGCCAGCCCGAAGCTGGGTGGCTGCTCCCTCCACGGGGGAGGCATCGCGCTTCCTCGGGGAAGCAGCAGCGTCCCCGGGGCGCTGGGGACACGGCCTGCCCCGGTCACGGCGTGGGGACTGGGGCAGCCGGCCAGCTGGATGCCAGCCTGCCGCAGGCGCTGCGGGGTTGGGGTCAGCCGAGTTCCTCCGGGCTCCCTCGGCTGTGGCGGCCACGCGGTGCCTCCCTGGTGCCTCCTGACATTTGGGGGTGCTGCATGGGGCATTTTGGGGTCTCCATCCCCTCCGGGTCATAGCACGGTGCTCAGACCGGTGCCATGGCAGGGCCAGCTGGTGTGCCCGCTGCTGTCCCCGTCCTTCATGCCAGTGGGACCCCAGTGGGGTGCCAGCGCTGTGCTGGGGCTCTGCCTCGCCAAACGGGGACCCTGCGAGCCCCCGGGCTGGCTGCGACCGTGCTGGGCTGAGCTGTCCCAGCCTGACCCCGCCGGGCTGCGGCACCACAAGCGGGGAGGTCACCTCTGCAGGAGGGACACGCTGCCGTGGGGCTGAGCCACGCCGCTGCCATCGGCACCGCGCCAACGAGGCTGAGCCAGGGGCTTCCCGCACCCCGTCCCCATCCCACCCCGCCGGGCTGCTGCCCCCCCTGCCTCTGCCAGCCCCGCTGCAGCCGGGAGCTGGGACCCGGCGGCGCTGCAGCGGCAGCACTGCGTCATGCAGCAGCTTCTCCCCTCGGAGGTGGTTTCCCTCCGGGTTGTTGCTTGGCAGCGGCGGAGGAGCGCTGCGCCGCGCTGCGGGGACGCGCCAGGCTCCTCGGCGAGCCCTGGGGAGATGAGGAGCGGGGTGATTTATGGGGAGATGACTCAGCTCCCAGCACAGGCTGGAGGCAGCGAGGGGCTGCAGCAGCAGGCGGGGGGGTTGTGGGGGGGGCGCGCAGCCCCCGGTTCTTTCTGCCAGCCTCCCTTGCTCTTGGGGCTGCCTCCCTGCGCCTCCTTTCCCTGCCTGGATTTTTGGAGTGCGGGCGCTGCCCTGGGGGTCCCTGCAGCCCCCCATTGCTGTGGCAGACTCTGTGCCCCAGCCTGGCAGTGCAGGGATGGGGCTGAGCCCCACGGTGGGGCTGCCCCACACTTATAGGGCCGGGCAGGGAGCAGTGGGGCCGGCTTGTGGGGTGCACGTGGGGGCTCTCCATGGGGGGTATCCCCACCACCCCTTGCTGCAGCATCCCTTGAGCCGGCGTGCAGCAGTGCTGGGAGCGGGGTGAGCCCTGGATTGAGGCTTGGGGGGCTGCCCCATGGAGCTGGGGGGCTCTGCGCATCCCCCCTCCAGCCTCAGGATCTATCCCCTGCCTTCCCCAGCAGGTCGCAGCGCCCAGCACCGCCTCGCTGGGCAGGCACCGCAGCCACAGGGCTGCTCCGTGGTGCCTGGGCTGGGGGCACCGCAGAGCCCCCTCCCCCATGGGGCACAGCAGCACCCCCGGGGGGGGACAGGGCACTAGCCTGGGGGCCCTGCAACCTGCACCCTCCCTGCACCCTCCTGCGCGTGGCTCCGGCACAGCCTGGGGCTCACTTTGGGGATTGCAACGAAGCCTCGGTGCCACTGCTGCTGCTCCAGCACCGCTGCTGTTCCCGGGGGGGCCGCTGCACCCCCAGCATCCTTGGGGAGCCGTCCTGCAGCTCGCTGTGCACCCCGACCCCGTGCCGCAGCCGGGCTGGCCGGCCAGCACGGCCCCCGTGCCAGCAGCACGCCTGACACCCCACTGAACATTTCCCTCACATCCAGCACAAACACGGCTGCAGCCCGGCTCCCAGCGCCCGGCCAAAGCCAGCACGTGGGCGCGGGGAGGCTGCCCGGAGGGGACGGGTTTTCGTGGGGCTCGCCGTGCCCGCGGCCTTCCCGCTGCCGGGAGCACGTGCGGCGCTGGGCGAGGGGCCCCCACGTGCCAGCAGCCAGCTCCTTCGCCTGCTCCTTCCCACCGGGGGCTGGCTGTGGGGACGGGCGCCCACCGCCCCGGCACCGCCACGGCCCCGCTCTCCAGGAATGGAGCCGCGTGCCCGGGGGCGGCTCCAGCTGGGACAAAGTGCAGCGCCGCGTGGTTTGGCAAGGCGCGCTCCCGCGGCTGCGTCCCGGGGGGGAGGCTGAGCTCCGCTCCCCCCCGCCACGGTCTCCCCGGCACGCTCCTCCCTGGCGCAGGCGTTGCACGGGGACGGGGACACGGAGAAGGAGCCTGCAAGGAGCTGGTGCTCCCCAGTCCCCCGACCTCTCCTGGGGACCCCGAGGCTGGAGCTGGCTCGGCTGGGAGCACCGCGAGCCCTTGTGCCAGCACCAGGTCCCACACTGACCCCGATCATTGTGGGGCTGGCACGGACCAGGGAGCGATCCCAAGGGCACGTTTGGTGTTTGGGGACAGCATGGTGCAGCCGTGACCTGGTGCCAGCGCTGCAGCCTGTGCCATGCTGGTGCCGTGGGGAAGGAGAGGGGCTTCAGGGGGAGCTGAAACCCGTGGGGAGCTCGCGGCGCCTCTGCAGACCCCGTTCGGATCCTGTGCCGGGACTGTGCTCAAACCGTGCTCCTGACGTCGTCCTTGGACCCGTCCCAAAACCTCCCGGTCGGGGCCGCGTGGAGCTCCGAGCCCCGGGCAGGAGCCCCCCGGGTGCTGCTGGTGCCGTGCCGCAGCCCCTGCCCCGCTCTGCCCTGGCCTCCCGGCTGTGGGGCAGGGCTGGGGCCAGGCAGGCTCCGTGCACACCCACCCCAGGTGCTGTGGGGGCTGTGGGGGCTGCCTGGGGATCTCCAGGGGTCCTGGGCAGGTTTCACAGCCTCTGACCCCCGGCCTCGCCGTGCTGGAGCCGGCCACGGTGCCCCGAGCCCTCTCTCCGTGCCCAGTTTGGGTCCGTGCAGGGGACGTGGGCCTGCAGGGGGGTGGCTCAGAGCGGGGAGCTTCTCTGGACACTGACCCTAGGGCATGGCACATGCCCCCCCACAGGCTGGACCCCCCCTGGGCAGCCCTGCTCGGCCCGTGCCGGGTGCCACCGGCACCAAACGCAGCGCCCCTGCCACGGGCAGCCCCTGGGCAGGAATGCGGCCGGGGCCGGGCGAGTGCAGCTGGATGTCGGAGCTGTCTGGCTGCCAGCTCCCATCCCCTCCCCGGCCTCTCCCTCGCCGCCCCCCCGCCGGCCTCTCCGCCTTCCCCGCTCCCCCCTCCGCGGCCTCTTCCTGCCTTGGCCGCGGCCGAGATCTTCTGGGGCTCAGGTGAAACGCTCCCCACCGCCGCGGGACGCGGCAGCCCCGGCCCCCGACACCGCCTCTCCGGGCACGGGCACGTCCCTGGCCGTGCCGCGGTGCTGGGCGCAGGGAGCCGGTTCCTTTCCTGGGGCAGAGCCCGGGGGGGGGACCAGGGGAGGGGCCCCCAAAGCGCTGCGGGTGGTGGGGAAGAGCAGGCGGCTGCTGGCGTGCTGGTTCCTGCACCCTGCCCGTGTCCCTTGGGGGCTGTGGGGGCCACACAGCCCTGAGTGGGGTGTGCAGGGGGTGCAGGAGCCCCCAGCCCCACACGTGCAGGGCTCCGGCAGGTTGTGGGGGCTGGTGTGACCCCCCAGGTGGTGGCACTGCTTGGCACATGGAGCTGCATTGCCAGGCCGAGGTGCCCGGCCCCACAGCGGTGCGCCCAGCCCCATGGCGAGGGCTGGCCCCAAGCCCTGGCAGAGGTCACGCTCACCCTTTGAGCCCCCCCAAGGGCACGGGGAGTCGTGGAGGGTCCCAGCCAGGCCCCCCAGGAGGAACTGGGTTCGTCCAAGCAAAGCAGGGCTGGTGCAAGGTGCCCGCGTGCCCATGGCACCCATGGGTGCCAGCGAGCCCCGCAGCAGGCAGGAGCGGAGCCGTGAGCAGGCGCCCGGGGTGCGCGGCCCCGGGGCCGGCAGCGTAACCGTCCTTCTGTCTCCGGCTCGCAGGGGGAAGAGGAGCCCGAGGAGAACCAGAGCAAGGAGGAGAAGCAGGATCCGGGGACGCCCATGAGGAAAGCCGGGCGGCCCGGGCGGAAGCGCAAGCATGCCCAGGTGAGCGCGCGGGGGGCGAGGCGGGGGCAGCGGGCGGCCCCCCTCCCCATGGGCAGCCCCCCCCGTGGGCTAGCTGCGCTGGCCCTGGGACTACGGCTCCCGGCGTGCCGCGGGCCTGTCCCGCCTCCCTGCGCCGAGGAAAGTCCGAGAGCGGCGCAGCGGCCGGAGGGAAGCGTGTCCCCCCCCCTCCCCGCGGCCCCCGCCAGCTCCTCCTGCCCTGGCAGCGCTCGGGGTCCGGCACGGCTGCGGTCGAGGCCCCGCGGTGCACTTGTCCCCGTGCTCCCCCCCCGCCAGCTCCCGGTGCCGCGCAGCTCTGGGATGGCCCCCGGGGCTCGCTGCAGCAGCTGCAATAACAAGGGGAGCGTGGCTGCTGCGCGAGCCCAGCTCCCTGCTGGCTTCCCCGGCTCCCATGGTGTGGGTGATGCCCCCTGCCACCACCCCACATGTCCCAACCCCGCTGCAGCCGGGCAGGGCTGTCCCCATGTCCCTGCTGGTGCCGTCCCTGCGCTCCTGCCCCATGGGAGCGGCCTCGTGGAGCTGCTCGCGCAGGGGAAGGCTCAGGGCAGCGCCTCGGGGTGGTGCCGCAGGGGTGGAGGGGCCCAGGCAGCAGCAGGACCTTGTGGGGCGCACGGTTTGGGCCCCCTGATGCAGCAGGAGCCGTGGAAGTGGTGGCTCTGTCCCCACGAGTGGTGGCACAGGGACACGTGGGCATGTGCGGTGCCGGTGGGCACGGCTGGGGAGCGCGCGGTGGCCGATCTGGTGCTGGGGATGGGAAGGGACTGGGAGAGCTGTGCCAGTCACCGGGTGCCTGCCACCCTGGTTCAGTGCCTGGGGTGGGGGCAGGCGCTCCCCGGGGGGCCACAACCCCACCGGGAAGGGCACACGGACCCCCAGGTGTGGGGCTGGTGGCGAGGGGCTCTGGGGAGCCGCCGCGGAGCGCGCGCATGGCTGCGGTGGGGAGCGTTGGCACCGTCCGTGCCCCAGGGCACCAGCAGGGCTGGGTGCTCAGCCTGCATGCGCAGCACCCCGTCCCTGTCCCCGCACCCCCATGGGAGCTGGGGGGGGGGACACAGAGCCCCTGTCGGGCCGCCCGTGGCTGGAACCCAGCAGTCTTATGGGGAGCACATGGAGACACGCAGGGACGGGGGGCGTTTGCTGCTGAAAGAACTTTTTTTTGCAAAGGTTTTGCGGCTGTGAAAAGTTTTTGCTCCGCGCTCGGACACGTCCAGGGTCTCCGTGGGGCTGCGCTGGCCTCGCCGGGTGGGACCATGTGTGGGGCAGGCGCGGTGCGAGGGGGGCAGCGGGGGCGCGGGCCGCAGCGCCGGCTATAAATACAGCGGGTGGGAGGTGAGCGCGGGGAGGGCGGGGAGCTGCTGCGGTGGAAGAACAATACTGGCACGGGGACAAACGGGGAGAAGCCGTCCAGGAACAGGCCGAGCCTGGAAACCGGCAGGGATCTGACCCTCGGAGGGGGCGACCCCCGGAGAGCCGCGGGACGAGAGGTTCCCTGCGCCCAGCCTGGGGCGCACGGGGGGGCAGCGGCAGCGCCGTGACACCGGGCACCTCGTGGTGCTTGGGTGCTGGAGGTGGCACCAGGAGCCTGAACAGCCACCACGGCTCCCAGGGGGGGTCCCCAGGCAGCCGCACGCCGTGCCCGCTCCGTGCAGTGGAGCTGGCAGAGCCCCGCGGCCCCGTGGCTGCCCGGGCAGTGCCAGGAGAGCGCCGCTGCGCTTGGGAAAGCCCCGTCCGGGTGTGGGCTGCTATAAATATCCGCCAGCTGGAGAGCCCCGCGGTGCCGGCTCCTGCGGAGAGGCCAGGCCGTGACCCGGGGAGCTGGACCCGGGCGGAGAGGAGCCAGCGCGCGGTGCTGGGGGGCGCAGGGAGCGGGGATTGAGCCCTAGGGGCCCGCCGAGGGGTCCCAGCCCCAGGCTCACGGTGGGCAGAGGTTTTGTAGGGAGGGTGCTGAGCACCCCCACGGCTGGTGCAGTGCTTCGGGACGCAGCAAATAAGGGGCCTGGTGGGGGTCCAGGTGCTGAGGGCTTGTGCTTTGCCTTCCTCACCCCGGTGTGTCGGTGGGCAGGAGCTGTGCCACGGCTCCCCAGCCCGGACAGGACTTGGGGGGGGGGACACGTGGGGCGCAGAGCAGGGAACCCGGCAGAGGCTGTCCGGGGAGGGGGCGGGAAGCCCTTCCTGCAGCTGTAACCGGACCTTTTGTTTTTCCAGGTGTTCGGAGGTATTTTTCCCGAGGGGTGCCGTTGTCAGCCAGGTGAGCAGGGCCCGGGGCAGGGAGGCTCTGCCCCAGCACGCTGCTCCCGGCAGGGACCATGCGGGCGGCCCCCGCCTGGCTGGGGACCCTGCGGGGACCCAGCTGGGGCCCCTGTGACGCCCTGCGGGGACGAGAGCCACGGGGTATCGGTGTGGGCAGCAGCTGGCAGGCCATGCCGTGCCATCCCCTGCTGTGCCGTGCCCTTCCGAGCTGTGCCGTGCCGTCCTGGGGGCCAGCGAAGCCACCCTGAGCTGTGCCGTGCCGAGCGGTGCCACGCTGTGGATCTGTGTGCGCCCAGCGTGGGGGTGGCAGAGCGGTGCCACCCCCTGTCCCCCTGCCCGGACAGGGCCCCGGCACAGCCCGTGTGCCCCGGCAGCAGCGGGGCCACCCCGCTCCCGGCAGAGCCGCGTCCTTGGCGGGGGCCCAGCGGCTGCACGGAGGGGAGGGGAGCGCAGAGAAAGGCAGCGCTTGTTCCCAGGGCCGGCCGGCGTGGAGGAAGCGGGTGGGTGGGAAGGAAGGCAGTGCCGGCCCGGCCAGGCCTTCCCCGGGGGACGGGGACGGGCGCCGGGGTGGATCCCCGACCCCTTCCCCTGCGCCTCCCCGGCACGGCAGCAGCGATGCTCGAGCGGCAGCACCGGGACGTGCCGGCGGCACGGGGGGCTTGGAGAGCCACGGGGCCCATCCTGACCCAGGTAGGGCTGCAGGAACGGGGTTGGGGCTGGGGCTGGCCCCCCCACGGAGCTGTCTCTCCCACCCCCTGCACCCCTCCGAGGGACCCCAGACCCTCGCCAGCGCCTGGCTCGGTGCCACACGCACTGGGGCAGGAGGAGGGGGCGTCGGGTCGTGCGGGGAGGGCATGGCCCCGACACCCAGCCCTGCCCGTGCCGGCACGTCCCGGCAGGCCCTCGTGCAAGGGAGGCCGTCGTGCAGGGGGACGTGTGACACGGCGGGGCCCTCCTGCCCTCCCTGCCTTCCTGGCATTGTCCGCCAGCCCCACACGGCCCACGGAGCCCCTGCCCGTGGCGGGTGCCGCGCTGGCTGGCGGGGGCCGGGGGCGGCGGGCGTGCGGTGACGGTGACGCCAGCTTCCTGACGCAGAGGCGGGCAGGGGGCGGCCGTGCCCGCGGGAAGGGCTGCGGGAAGGGCTGCAGCACGGCCGGGAAGGGGCTGCCAAGGGAGGAGCTGGAGCAGGGCCAGGGCTCCGGCGCGGCGCTGGAGGCGCGGGGAGCGGGGCGGCCGTGGCCGTGTGGGGAGGGGGGCGGCCGGATCCCGTCCGGGGCGCAGCGGGGCCGTGCCGAGCCCCCCCTGTGGCCGTGCCGCCCTCCAACCCGTGCCGCCGCCTAATCCAAACCACATTGGTCGGCGCTTCCCGTTTCCTCCCTGGGAAGCGCACGCAGCCCCTTGCATTGTTTTCGGCACGGCAGCCAGGATGCGGCCCCGAGCGGGAGGCGAGAGCAGGACAGGGGGGCTGCGGACCCCCGGGGAGGGCAGCAGCCACCAGGGCCGTGCAGGGAGCAGCAGCTGCCTTGGCTCCTGCCACAGGCCCTGCCACAAGGACGTGGGCCCTCAGCCCGTTCCCGTGCCCCCCCTCACTCCTCCCTCTGCCTTCAGCGCCTCACAGCGAGCTCCGGGGCACAGGGACGCGGTGCAGCTCCCAAACCCTGCTTTGATTCTCCCCTGAACCCCACTCCCATCCCTTTTCTGGGCCCTCTCTGCCCCCCAGCAGCTCCGAGCCCCCCAGCCTCTCCGAGCCGTGGTGGTTCAGGCGCCGGCGGTGCGAGGGTGGCAGGGGGACACGGGGGGGGGGGGAGCGTGAGCGTGCACCGCACAATCACTTCCAGACCCTGCGTGAGGCTCGTGTGCCGGCACCGACCCCTCGTGGCTCCCCCTGCTCCCCGGCGTCTCTCCGTGGACGTGGCCGCATCCAGCCCCGTGGAGGTGCCCGGGGGCCCAGCACCGTGCTGCTGGCACACCTTGGTGTCCCCACAGCCCTGTCACTGCAGTCCTGCGGGTCCCAGGGAGCCTGCGCGGTGGCTCGGCGAGGTTTGTCCTTCAGCCTCGTCCTGCTGTGCTCGCCCTTGTGTCCAGGCTCTCCTGCGGCACAGCCCAGCAGCCACCTCCGCCCTGCTGGTGGCACCCACTTTGTGCTAGGGGCTGGCCACAGCCACCCTGGGGACCGGGCTGTGCCGGGGCTGGTGGCCGTTTGGCACATGGAGAGGCTGCGTGGTGTCCCCAGGGCTGGCAGCGGTGGCTCGTGTGTCCCCGGTGCACGGGCCCGCGGTGTCCTCGTCCCCCAGTACAAGTGGTGTGGTTGCTCCAGGGGTTGCCGTGCCCTGGGAGCGGTGGGAGCGGGACCACCCTGGTCTCAGCTCCCCCCCCCAGCACCGTCACTGCAGCGGGGGCCGTGCAGCACCAACCCAGCACAGCAGGGAGGCCCTGGGGAGCGCTGCCCTGCATCCCCCAACCCATTTCTGGCACTGCTGGCGCTGCGAGACCCCACCAGGGTCCCCCCGGCACCCTGCGGCTGCCCCCCGCCCGCCTCTCCAGCCCCGTTCCTCCCCCTGCGGCTTGCCGCGGGCTCGTCCCCTCCTTCCCGGCTCCGCTGGCAGGCTGTGCGCAGCTGCCTCCCCGCCTGGCCCCGTCCTTCCCCGCCGCCCTCTCCGGCCGTGCTGCCTGCACCGGGGCCGTGGCCGGCGGCGAGCGGCTGAGCGAGCGGAGGAAGTGACTGCGGCAGC